ACCAACTAGGCGCCCGAAAGGAACGGTAGGCCATGGAAATGGGGTGGAAAGTTTCGTCAAATGGGGCGCTTCCTGGAGAAATAAATACAGCGGAAGGTGAAAAGTACTTTTGAGGGAGTTAGAGAAAAATGTCGTCTGGAAAACGACCTGGAAACGACGGGGATTCATTATATTTTTTGGACTTACCCCGAAGAAATGAATAATGTTAGAGAGGGATGAAACTGTTTCGAGATACAGAGTGTCTCATTGAAGTGTGACCCTTAGAATACCTTTTTCAATTATAAAAAAGCAAAACATATTTTATACGTAATTTGAATGGTATGACATATACTAGTGTCCTGCAAGTGTTTTTTTTTTCGAAGATTTCAAGGTCATCTATGCTTTCTTTCGAATAACTATCATAGTATATTTTGATGAGCTATAGGTGAATAGGAAAAAATATGTAGTTAATTAAAAAAGAAACATGGATAACCTTGAAAGCATCTAGAAGAAACATTTGAAAAAGCAACGCCTGCAGGATACTGACCATTTAATACCATTTGAATTACGTATAAAATATGTTTCGCATTTTCACAATTAAAAAAAGATATTCAGGGGTCACGCTTAAATGAGACACTGTATAAAGAAAATATCTTGGTCTCTCAATGATCTGGAAAACGACGTCGAAACGAGGAAGTTTTGTTAGAAGGTGGCTTTTCATTATGAACCTTTCGCAAGATGAAACAAATAAGGTCCTTGTTTGAGGATATAATAAAAATTGTCGTTGATTCTCAGCGACGTGGAAAACGACTTGGAAACAACCGGGATTCATTAGGACGCGCAGAGTTCTCCTTTTCCGGGGGGATGGGGGGTTGAACGTGAAAAGTTTCGCCGCGTCTCGAGCGGAGGAGCACGTAGCTCATCGGCTCGTTAAAGTCGATCGTTCGTGAAGTAAGAACAGAGAGCTCGTGGAATCTTATTTTCTATCGCGTGGGTGCACCGTGTGGGCTCGCATAATGTATACTATTTTACTCCTCAAGGTTCTAGCCGGAGTTCGTTACACTTCCCGGTAGACGGTCAAGCGAACGGGAAGACAGTGTTGCAGGGAAAACAATTTTGTAACCGTGCTTGTAAACAGATTCCATTGAACGGTTCATGATTGAATAATTTACTGAGAATATACATGTATCCTCCGGAGGAAAGTGCACTGCTGGAAATTGTGATACGTCTCCTTTACAAGCTAGTATGAGAAACATTATCTATTCCAACAGATGACTGTCGTATCAGTTCAGACCAAGGTAATTTCGTTTACTATTTTTTAAGTATTAAAAAGTTACACGTTTTAGTTATTCTTATTTTTTGCTGAATTTCTGAGGATTCAAGGTATATGTTAGGTTGAACGGAAAGTTTGTGCGCTTTATTCTAAATAGACTCCATAATACAGTAAATCATTGATGAGTGTTCGAAGACTGCTCGGCATTTAACATTAAATATTTCATAAACTAATGGCCATATGCGGCTGAAAGTAAACATCATTAAAAAGTCAGCTTTACAGTTGGGGATTTCTCCCTGTCAGTGCCGAGGAGCCTTCGAGCACTCATTGATTATTTACAGTACTGTTTTTAAAGAAACTGGTTTATTTAATTACTGACATAACTTCCATTAGTCTCTGTTACTCTCCCTCACCGTTCCTCGAGTTCTGTAAATACCATCCTCGTAAAATTTGTGTGGTACAGAGACATCTCATAAAAATTGCACGAATTTTCCGTTCAATCCAATAAAACAGAACTGAGCAAATAAGTACAGTTAAGGTCTTGAATATGTAAAAGCCAAAGCAAAAGGTAACATCCTTCGCAATATTCTGTTACTATTTCCTCACCCTCTAGTCAACGACCATCAGAAGCAGTCGTGAACGAACATTTCGGTGGGGACCATCGGAAACAAAAGTCAGAAATGAAAAACTGTCGTCACATCTCGACGTGGCCTGTCGATAACAGGAAGAAACCTCGCGTCACGACACACAGTGAGATTCCTCTCTGTGACAGTTTCCGCATTTTACCGTAGAAAAACAAAAGGCTTGTCGGAAGGGACAGGATTGATTTCGATTCGGTCACACCCAAGGGGACATCGTCGGTATCGCTGGTCAATCTGATCAGACCGCAATCGGCCCAACCCATATCTCCTCCGTTTCAGCCACCGATATATCCGCCCGCTCTTCGCGTTTCCTCGGGCTGGGCCCTCCTATGCTTCCATTCCGACGAACGTGGACGTTAACCACCGTGAGGCAATTTGGGTCACAGCTTTATTGGAAGCACGGTTTCGATCGTTAACGAAACGAATTGAATCGGAGCCGGTCGACTATCCCCATTTCTTATCCCTTGGCTTCTGACGGATGTGTCAACGGTGACGTAATCGTTCCGAATATTCGAAACGGTTCGGTGAACCGGTAGAGGAACCGCGTGGGCGTACACCATTCGCTTCGTTTCGTTTAACGTAGGTCGGAATTCGGGGCTGGGGAGAGATCGCGGTTCCCGCCAAGGACCACAGCCTGGGACGATTTGATACAGTTGGGAAACTGTCGCCAATTGGTCCGTCGACCTCGTTCGCCGATTACTAAACTTCGAACTGGGTACATTTAGGCGAGATCATACCGTATTGCTGCATGTATATGGGAAGTAGACACGGTCAGTAATGGTCAGACTTGGGATAAATTGAACGTAGCGTTAACGTAGATATTCAAAGTAGATCGTACCATTCATGGTCAGACTTAGATTTAGAGAAAATCCTATCATATTAATATAAGTGTATGGGAAGTAGATGTGGTCAGTAATGGTCAGACTTGGGTTAACGTGAATCTTTCTACGTATCATTATTGTAGATATTCAAAGTAGATCGTACCATTCATGGCCAGACTTAGATTTAGAGAAAATCCTATCATATTAATACAAGTGTATGGGAAGTAGATGTGGTCAGTAATGGTCAGACTTGGGTTAACGTGAATCTTCTACGTATCGTTATCGTAGATATTCATAGTAGATTGTATCGTTCATGGTCAGACTTAGATTTGGACAAGATCCTATCATATTAATACATGTGTATGGGAAGTAGACGTGGTCAGTAATGGTCGGCCTTGAAGCAATCTGAACATTCTAAGTTTCGTTATCGTATTAACAGTAGATCGTCCCATTCATGGTCAGACCCAGTTTTAGAATAGGCCATACAATATTATCATATGTTCATGGGAAGTAGACACGGTCAGTAATGGTTAGACTTGGGACAAAGTGAACTTTCTACGTTTCGTTACGATACTACTGTTACAGGTAGTAACAGTAGATCTTACCGTTCATGGTCAGACTTATCGTAAATTCCTCTAAGTACTCTACGTGGACGGCATTGACGAACTAGAAGAAGTAAATGTACAATTTCCATTCTAAATTTTCTATTTATATTCTCGAGGAAATTAGGACCCTCACCACATTAGTATCTCATTTTCCAGGTGCCTCTGGTTGCAATTAAGTCTCCCTATATCCCTACGGGCGTGAACCGTTTCGTCAAACTCTTCGAGCGTCACCCCATCAAGCATATAGAGTTGCAGAGAGGAAGGTTTTAATGGCGAGCAGGGGAAAATCGAACGAAAGGAGGAACTTCTCAGAGCTCGGACCTTGCACACCACATCGACCTTTGATCTATTTCCGGCGGGCGGCGTGTGTCGTCGCGATAAACCGCGTTGGCAGCACGTATTTCCGGCGGCATTAGTCAGACCCGGTTTAAATACACCCCGTTAACTACTCGATTTTCGTATCTGTCTGATTCCCAACACCCTCCCTGCATCAACCCCTCCTTTTTGGGAAACCTTCAACCCCCACCCCTGAAGATGGGGCCAAGTTGTACATTTCTGACTGGTTCTCAGCGACAGATCGAGGTTAATTGGCTACCATTAGGAGGAAAATTAGCGGGAATTAGTCCCCGGACGATGAGTTCCGTCACTTGAATTACAGTTCACCCGTTTCTCGAGCTATCAGTTAATTAATCGTAGGACGATGCCGTGCGCTATGTCGGCTAACAAAACTTTCGAACCTGGCGAGGGAGGGAAAAAATTCGCGTAAAAATTCTCCACGGGTACCACGGAGGCGTCATTAATCTTCGTAGTACGTCGTTTTCCAGTGGGCCAGACGATCCATTATTATCGTCGGACATGAACTAACGTGAAAATCACCGGGCTGAGGGATGTATCCACGCCTAGGGATCTTCAAATGTCGGGTACACTTTTCGGTGAGTCTACTCTAATTCATCATCATCGTCGCGAGGCTCGACGAGGCCTCTTCTCGCTGACCTCCGAGTAACCCGATCCAATGCAACGTAGCAATTGCACCAAATTGGACGGTCGCGTTGTAATCTACTCTAATCTAACTCTTAATCGAGTGCTCCGTGTTCCATGGGGACTCCCAGAAGCGGTTATTAATGGGGCGAACTTCTTGAAATTCTTCTGGCTAGAGGAGCTGGTGCCACGGTGAGAGTGAATTAGAGTCGGTGGAGTGTAAGGAATAGGGTACAATGACTGATAGGTACGTGTTATTACTAGGTAAAAATTATGTCATACTCATTAAACTATAGTCTGCACCGTGGACTAGTTGGTCAAATGCAAGTAGAAGGTAAAGGATTCTAACTAACTTAGGATATGAGGTTCTAAATGGTGTCAATAAATTTCTTTACCAGATAGTGGATACCAAGTTGCAGATACCTAACAGTGGTACTAAGTTTCAAGTACAAAATAGTGGTACCATGTGGAGGGTACCAAATGGTGCTTATCAAGTGAGGAATATCAAATCTTAGGTACCAAGTAGCAAATAGAAGTGATTGGTACCGAATGGTAGATACCATATGACAACTATCAAAATTATTCGACACCAAAAATTAAACTAAACAGGGAACTAGAAATGACCTGTAGCTCCCATAAGTTACACAGTAATGACTACTGCTTGTAAGCACCTGGTAACAAGTAAAAGATAAAGATCACTCACCGTCATCGCTGATCTCGAGATTCGTGTAGCTGTCCCAGTGCAAGATCGGGTCGTGATGGGCCGAGGTGTGTGGTACAGCAGGCGTCGGGGCTGGAATAGGACCGTCCTGACGTTTCGCGTCCGTGGCGAAGTATAAGGTCACCACGCTGTCTGGAGGACACCTTGGATCGTCGCAGGCAACGTCCAGCTCCGATCGAGGGAAGGACACCACGTTCTCCGCAATCACGCATGTATGGAACTGCGGGAACGAACGAATATCTGATCCACGGATATACATACGTGTTTAACGATCGCGTTTTACGTAATGCCCGATGCCCCGAGCGATACCCCTGATTTCATGCGTAACGAGACTCGGAAAAGAGATAACATCATCTCGTGGTAATTACATGCTTCTCGGATTCCGGTGGTGCACACGATTGTGGACAGGTGACAGAGGAACAGTAAGTTCCGGATGGGTGGAAAAGAGGATCGTCGGATTGGAATTCGAGTTCACCACCGATTACGTAATTTATCTAGCTCGATTAGACGTAAATTACAAAAAAGATCCAGGAAGTTTAAAGCTGAGAAGATCAGAACTGAAGTGCACTGATCTTCAATCTTCCACGAGAGATTTACTCAGATTGTCTAGAGTTCCTCCAACCATTTACAGAGTACTTCGAATTCTGCTTAATTAAAGGTTCTACTGCCTAACCAGTTTAATCGGCTATAAACTCGTCTTTCTCTTACCTGAAGGGAGAACATCACCTCCCGACTTTGCTTCGAGTACACCCTGTGGTAACATTTCACCAGAATGTCACCACGGAGACGTAGACCGCCGAGATTAACCGTGAATTCTCGTGCGTTTGTCACGGAGTAAAGGTCCGAGGTGTAGACTGGAGTGAGCCCTTCGTAGACCTTGAGGAATGCTCGGCAACCAGTCGGTTCAAATAACGGAACCCCGAGAACCGTGAGATGCGTTAAATAGAGGGGCGACTGATTGATTGTTAAGGAGCCTGAGAGCAGCCCGCTGAAGTACTTGATGTATCTATGAACAGGAAAACCGAGAATAATTAAAATACAACCTCTACTTGCTTCTACTTCATTACAGAATAATCACGTCGGAGAATATTACCAGACACTCAGTCACGCGTCCTAAAATTCTACGATGTGTTACGACAGCATACCGCAATTAAGGTTGAAATAACACTTCCCGGGAAGTGGACTGTTCAAGTTAATCTAGTCAAGGTGAAATGAGCTTTTTTTTACGACGACATCCACTTTCATCATCAACTAAAACGACGATTCGACGCTTGGTTGTGTCACGCAACACCCTGGGGAGTAAAAACCGCGAGTCGAGTCGTGATGGCCTAGTGTTAATTCGTGTCTGACCACGGACGGTCTTTTTCTACTTCTGACGCGTTGGACCTTATTAGGCCGTTCTTGCATCGTGTGAAAATATTAGAGATGCGATGGGAACTGTGTAATGAATCGGTTCGAGTATATGTCTGACTATGGACACGGATTTTCTACTTGGTACTCCCGTATTCGGCAGTCAAGATCGTTATCGTCGAAGGCTTACTGAAAGACAATGAGAGTTTCCACGAATTACGTGAAACGTTGATTTTCGGTTTTGACGCATGTCTGACCATGGACGGAATTTCCTACTTCGTAATAAATCGTAGTTAACACCAGAATTACGCAAGCAGTCGGAATGACTGGTTTGTAAACTCTATAAAAATGATTCAAACGGCGTAACAACGGAATTAAACGGTGGCTTTGTGAAATGCAATAAAAGAAAATACTATCATCAGATGCAACGTCATTTCCATTGTATTCTTAATCCAATAAAATATTTAAGAGAAGAAAGAAATTCCTACTTTTACTCTTGTATTTACGAATCACATTACAAAATGTTATTTTGCATCTACCGATCACAAACGGGACTTTCCACGTCCACGCGTCCAGTATTCATCGATAATATCCAAGCAACGAAATCGCCTCGAAATGGCATTCCATTCGACACGATCAGATGAAACCTTATGTCCAAAGACATTACCCGCGAGTGTCGATTAATTCCATCGTTTGTAGTACACACGACGAAACACGGAAGAGTGGACAGAACGGGCCATGGTATCCCGAGGTACCTGCCGATTATGCGGCATCGTGATCGTTCGTGGCCGTAATTTCGCGGATCCTCGCGTGTCCCCTCGTAACGAACCAGCCAGATAGGATCGGTGACCGATCCGAGCCAGATGAAAGAAAAAAAACCTGTTCTCGGTGGCACCTGAGGTGTGCACCGGCGTTTGACCAACCCCCCTTACCGATAATGGATTCATACGTTGGCGAGAGAAAGAGAGAGAGAGGGAGACAGCAGGGCCAAGCTAACGACATGCTAATGCTCGTCGCTCGTGGAATTAATGGGGCAGCTCGAACGGTCGGTAAAGGGGAAGGGTACCTAGATAGACGACAACAACGCCTAGAGGGGAATCTTCCGCGTATAAGGAAGAGGGTTCTCTCTCTCTCTCGATGGGGGATCATTACGATCCACGACGATGCGCGCGTCAAACGACGACGAAAACTAACCACGAACCGTGGATCGACAGCGTGTAATGGGGCACCATGCGATCGTTCGCCGAGAATGGATAGCCAAGGTTGACAGCTTCAAAGTTACAGGACTTGAGGGTTTATGGGGTTATTTCACAGGGATTTTTAAGGTTAGGAACTAGTCGCTTGCGATACACGCTTCGAGATTCCAGGGTGGTGATTATGGGGGGTGATGTGCGGGACCGTTAGTAGGCACGACGTGCAGCGGAATGGATGATATGGAGAGGGATAAGGGTGGTATTTGTGGGATAATGTAGACTTTTTTTTAGGCTGTCGTGGTTGTTGTGTAATAGAGCATGAGGAGATTTATTCTGGAAAAACGTGGAGCAACATTTTTTTTTAAATATTGTGAAATGAATGACATGATTGAGGATAAGGAAATATTGTGAAATGGATGACATGAAACAGTAGAATCGTTGTTAAAACGTGATTATGTCGAAATAGACAGGGTCAAATATTGTGGAACATCAAGACCGTGGTAGGATGATCGCCATCATGGTGACCGAACGTTGATGGCGTTTACGTGAGTAGGATTCATGTTGGAAAAAGTGTCCTTATACTTTATCATTCCTTTAGCTCTGTAGGACAAACTTTAGTAGGCTACTGTGGGAAGGACTGATGTAAGTTTGAAGAAACACAGTGTAAGGTAAATTAAATAGTCATTGCAAGGTTGACACGTGACACTGAACCCGACCGAATGGATAGCCAAGGCTGGAACTGCACGAGTCTCGTTTATACGACCCATTATGCTCGTGAGAATCGTTATACAATCTCGCGATAGAGGTAACGATAGCGTGCACCGTTTCCGCAACAGAAATCCCTCATTTCGAACACTTCAGCCAATTAATGAACTCAAGAGTCTTCGGCAGGATAATACCGTGACTCATAAATTCGTTCAAATATACCTGTCCCATTTGTACATTAACATCATTATTATATAGACTTTTACCCTTTAGAATAAAATCATGCAGAACAGTCGAGAGAGAAAAGTTCTACAAATAAATACAATAAAGCGACGAGGGTGAAATTAACATAGGGATTTTTACAATTAGTTACTTTACGGTTTATATGTATGTAGATTGCCGACAATTATGCAAATTCCACTTTCACGGACTGTTTTATGAGGAGCCGGGTACCTACACGGAACAATTTCATTTCACCGCGCGAAGAGTTTATTAATTCAAAGGTCATGCGTGGATACGCCGTAAATATATAAAATCCGTCGTCTAATTACGCATAAACACGCGTGTCCCTGTATTCGTGAAATAAAACGACAATCCTATAAACAACCACCTCTTCGACTTCACGAACACCATACGTTAATTATGACATAACAGTCTCAGCGTAACGTTGAAAAAAAGAGTCAGTAAGAACCGTCCCGTGTACTTCTGTTTACGATCGAGCAGGCGATCGACGACAAGCTCGTTGCTTTAAAATAGGGACTAGGCAAATCGTGTTATTAACTATCCATAATACTCTCCCAGGGAGGGAAGAGGGGGCCACGCCCGTGCAGATACCGTGTCGGGGGTATTATCTGGCCGGCTCTCCGCGACTAATAGGCGATAAAGTGAAATTTTATCGTGTAACGTCGACAGGTAGTAACGTCATGCTCTCCGAGCCCATTACCTTCGATGTGACGGAACCTGCAGGGATCCAATCTTGTCGTCGAGGAATGTCTTCATGGCGAACCTGTCCAGCGCCTGGTCACCTCCACCGCAGATGCTGCTGTAGTTCATGTACGCGGAGACAGCCACACCCAATCGTTCTTTGCTTCCCCTGATCAGAGAATTTTCGCGTTGTGCATCGCACGTGAATAGAAACTACATATTTTCTACCTGTTTCGAGATAATCGAGGGATCTTTAACTCTTTAGGGTTAGGCGGGTTAAAAACTGTCCCACCTTTTGCTTAGCTTTTTATACATGGTGGGATATATTTTAACCCACCTCGAAAAGTTGAAGTTACTTATAGTTATAGAATTTAATATCTTGTTTTTATATAATTTTTTTTATATTAAAAAAAATTCTTTGCAACTAGGGTGTTTATTTTTTTTTTAAATCATGTGCTTCAAAGAGTTAAGTGGAGGCGACACTCACCTGGCGTGTAGAACGACCACGCGATTCGGGGCACCGTTCAGCCAGGAGTCCAGCTCCTTGCATAGGGCGCAGAGCCTTTCCAAACTGGGCGCCAGTCCCTGTGGCCAGCCTGCTTCTCTGGTGTTCGGCTCCCCTGAGCGACCAGGTGAGGACAGGTTGAATATCTGGAAGTTTCGATGAAAATCGTGAACAGGTCACTTTAAAGTTGTTATACATGGTAACTAGTGTATGTACAGTCACGAACAAACTCAACTTCCTTTAGAGGAAAAAGCAGCGTTGAGGAAGGGCCTCTTACTACTTGGTAAATTTATTTTAACTACTGAAATAAAGTTCAAACTGAATATTAATTTGGTATAAATTTTAGCAACTCCCGAGGCTAAGTTACAAGAGGCCCTTCCGCTATGCTGCGTTTTCCCTTAGTGGAAGCCGAGTTTGCTCGTCAGTCAATAGTGTTTTTTGCTTGAGTTTCTGTAGAAGTTGATAGATTCACAAGTCTAATTGGTAGTAATTGGCTAATGTTTTGAATTTCTTCAGTATTGTGTATGTCCTTTTATTTTCTGTTAACAACGAGGAGGACGTCGTTCAAAAAGTTTTCATGTACATTCGGTGTAGCTCGAGGGACAGGCGATTACAGAGGCGAAATTTTCAAGAAAACTTTCTTTACGTAAGTTGCCTCGCTTAAGAAAAGTACTTGCTTGTTTTCTCATTTCCTTGTTGTTTTAAAAACCTAGAGAGCTTAAGGAACGTTGATGTTCTGTACACGAAGTTACCCAACCGTGATCGTACACTATTATATATTAATCAAGATGAATAAAGGTTATCTCATGCCCATTATCTTAGCGTCGTTCAATTTAATACCGATCGTTATTTAAGAAAAACCCGGATGGTTATATACGGCTATTAATTCACCAGCATCAGGTGGCTTACCATGTAATTATCAGCGTGCTTCCCTCGCAGAAGCGTGGTGGCGTGCTCGAGGACTCCCTGGGCGTCCTCTCTGTACCAAAGAGCGATGATCCTCTGCGTGACGTAACAGAACTCCATCACCTCAGTCACGCGGCCTCCTCCGACCTTCCCTGATCCTGTCGTGGTCGCGTCCGCTCCGACGCCTGGCGTCCTCGCGGGTGTCGTCGACGACGAGGACGTTTGAATCTGTAACAACGATCGATAACACAATGAGTCCACTCTAAACACCACTTGAACGTAACAGAAATAAACATTTCCCAACATCCGTAGCGGAAGATCACATAAGATCCCATTTAATGCATCACCAATACACTGGGAAAAATAGAGGATTGCTAATGTCGTACACCTAATACGTTCATTGACCACGTTAAAATCACGTCAAAACCATGGGGGTAGGCTTAAAAGCAAGCAAAAGTCTCGAGGAAGAAGGAACACCTTGGAGTACATCGGCGCGTAGAGGATCCTGACGACGAACGTCTCCGGCATACCGATGCTTTCAGGGGTGGATCCTTATCAGACCGTATAGACATGAAATCCTGGCGCTTCAACGCGACAATCGCGTTTATCCTGGCAGGTGAGTCGGTAAGGAAAGACGCTGGAGGATCTGGCTGCACACGACGGGATGAAGGACCGCCGGGTATTGTGTTTCGCTCGGCGGTACGGTGTGCCACGTTCGCGGATATCTGGTGGTCACTCCTGTTCGATCGGTTCGACTGCGTCTTCTTCTTTGTACACACTATCCACCGACTGGCAACAACGTTCCCCTACTCCCGGAACGTAGACGACGTGTACATATGTGAAACGATTTCTGCATCTATGATGTAACGAATTCGTTCAAGTAGCGTGACTCCTCGGACTGAAGTCATGCTTGTCGTTAGTTTCTGCGCAGACTGCGTGAATTCAGTACGAAGAACGAGATACGATTTGTGCGCGTGAATAATTCGACTTCAAGGGCGTCGCGGACGGGTCGGGACGACGGAGAAATGTGAAACGGTTGATTGTCGATGAATTGCGTCGCATCTTCCTCGTGGTATTGGTCAATATTGATCGATGTCTCGCTTGGTAAACGAGGACAGCGCAAAGATAACAAGACTTGCAAGGAGAAAAAATTCATTTCCGATCATATGAACAGTAATAATGCAAAAAAACATGGCCCATTCCTATCAGTTCCGAATTCGAAGTTTGTAATTACATTTTTCAATATTTAACTGGGTACAATGTGACTATTAAAGATCATTTTTATACCCATACGAATTTCATTCGAGACCCTTTAACTTCGAACCTCAGAAGTGGCTGCAGCATCAAAGATACAGCCCCGATATATTGGTTCGGAATAGAAAACAGAAGTGTCCAGACGCTCTCCACGATCCAGCGTCCTCTACCCAATACTCTTCCATTTCCACGATCATTTCCATCTCCCAAGAGATGGCGCAATAATTCAACAACACGAAGAAAAGAGTAAGATCTTCGATCGTACGATCCAGCCGCACGCAGCGGGTGACGCACGTGCCCCCTCGCGTGAAAAAACGCACTCTCTCGTCAGGCCGATATTACGACTTATTCGCTGGTGACGGCTGACAAATCGCGCGAATATACCAGCAGCGGATTCCTTGCTACCCGATGGAAAGTCGGGCCACCCGTGGATCTTCGGTAGATCCTAAGCAACCGTGAGAAATACGAAGGACACGTCGGCCACGACGGCCAGTCCAGGGGCCTTCAAGGAACGACAGCTGCACGGGCAGGACCGTGGGGCACTGTAATAGCAATTTCACACGTGAGACGTAACGGTGGGAGGGATTTATGGCCGTAGCAGACCGCGACGTACGAGCCGGCCCCGTAGCTGACCGCAGCCGCGAGAGAACCAGCTCGACGCGGCGTTATGATCCCATAAACGTATTTTTAGAGCCGGCCACGGCTGCTCTCTCGCCCCCACCCGCCGTTCTCCAGTCGGACCGGACCTCTTTTCGCGTTTCTGATCTGTCTGGGGAAGGGGGCAGCGATTCCAGACCTTTTTCGTACACGTTACCCGTGGAATCGTTAAATTTTTGCAATCTACAAATGGCGACTCGCGACGTGGGCGGGGAATCACGGATTGGTGGTATAGAGACACGTTGTAGAATCTGGAATTGGATTGTATAGGGGTTGGAAGATTTAATAAAATACTGAAATAGAACTTGTTATCAAGTACAAGCAGTGGCGGACTGGGTCTAAAGATAGTGGTTGCCAGGAGACAAGGGGACCACACTTACAACTGTAAAGGCATTGTTTAACTTTGAAAGAAAATTTTATTAGGGATGATAAATTTTATCATAATTTTACTAAAAGATCATTACCGATTTCAAGATATTTTCTAATGCTTAAAGGAACACCGCTTGCCACCGGATAACCCTAGTCAACCCGCCATTGAGTTCAAGATGGAAATTAGTGAATATGGTAGATTACTATTTCCTTCTTTTAATTTATTCCAAACGACTATACGCATTGTTCGGTACCCCAAAGTCACGAATTGAGCAACGTATTATATCTTGCGATGGAATGTACACACACTTTGTTTTAGTCATGTTTATTTTCTAAAAAAAACATCATCCAAAGACGATAATTATAGAGCCACGCCATTAACGGGACGCGCGCGCGCGGTGAACGTCGCGCCCGCAATGTCAATTATCGTTAATCCGCGTAATTGCTGCCGGCTAATTTCTAATTGGAAGTATAGTGTGCCGGGTGAGAGTGGGCTTTATCGTTATCGACTTCTTTCCGTCGAGCCGTGCACTCTGGATCGCCGACGACGCGCAGTCTAGATCCGATCGATAGCTCAGTATTCCCTTTATAGACTGCTCCTTAATAAACGAACCTAATAAACGGACAACACTAAATCACACGCGGTATATTGCACCTGAGATAACTCTTGGTACGGTTTATCGAACGGTATCCGTTTTTTAATAATCTGTTAACATTGCTAGATCACTTAGAAGTTACAACCTACTTCTTTGAATCTAGATATATCACGATTTCAAAAAGATATAAAACTCACTTTTTTCCAGATACTCTTTTGTAGTTAGATAGTCACCTTTACTCAATCCTTATCGAACAACGATTTCTTTCGATATTTCGCGATAACAATACACCAGATATTTTCACGTTTCTGTACTTAAGCTTTATTTTCGCAGGCATAGCCGCGGTTTAATCGTGTACGAGGGTTTCGTGAATATATTACACGGTCAGCATCATCGATATACTTGGATTATCTCCGCGGACCATCAGTCGATGCTAGCGCCGGCTCACACGATCCGCCGGCTTACTGCCATTTTAACGTATAATTTTCCCCGGTGTCGACGTTAATGCGTAGAGACCGCCTAGCTGGGTGACCTATCCTCCGTCGTGGTTTAATCTACAAAAAAAAGGCGCAATAAACCGCGGATGAACGATCCCTTGAAACCTACTCAGCGTCCGATTTAATTCCCTCGACGGTGTTAGTCTTAATCCTCGTACGTGTTGCGCGTCTTCGGCCCCGTTGTCCCGAGTAATCGTACTTAATGACGCAGACAATAATGAGTATTTATTAGACTAAAGAAAATACGACGTGATAAATGCCGCCTCGTAGATGATCACAAATTAATGGACTCTGAACGTTCTTTACTACCCTGCTGATGGCGATTTTATCCATCCAGATCATTGTTTTTCATTCAGAATGGTCGATAAACTTGAAAATCTAGACGTATAAGGCTACAGGTGATTTATAGGATATCTGGCTAATTTATAGGAAATTCTTGAAACGGTTTGACCTAGAGAAAAAAAGCCAAATTTTTTATGTTCTTCGTGAAATTTACCAAAGAAACTGAGAGATTTCGCGATTTATTGAAAACATTGCTATGGACATTTTTATACACAATTTTTCCATTAAAAACGATACTTTCCTCATAAAATATTCACAATTTACACAAAAAATCATACTTCCAAAAATCCGCCTGTACGTCTTTACTAAATTTCACGTATAACACAAAAATGTTTCATTTCTTGTTCTAGGTAAAACCGTTTTCAAATGATTCTCACTTAAAAACAGCCAAACGTTGATCAGCCCCAGCGTCGCCATTTTGTTTAAGAAGAAAAGAAAAAAAAATTATTTCTTGTACCTGAAGATTTGCAACAATGAATACATTTTAATGCATTTCCCATTTACTTCATATTATCAAAAATATCTTTCATTTCTCGACCCCTTAGCGAAACTACACGCGAATGTAAACGACCACCAAAGGTATTGCAAGTGGAAAATTATTCCATCGTGACTCGAAGAAGCGCGACGTGGTATTCTCTGCCGCGATGGAAACAGCGAAAATACGCGAACGATCGTTATGCAAAGAGGTGGCTGTGCGGCTACACGCCTCAAGGTTTATCGTTCCCGATAAGAAGCTGCGATTTGTACCATTCCCCGAGCCGGCTCTCTAAATATTTAATATCAAAACAACACCGTATGGCCCCGTAAGCACCAGGATGCGTCGTATCGGGCCGGCCACGGGGCACGCGATTGCATCAGGCGTGTCTTCATTTATTCCGCGGGAAAACACGGTCGAGTCCTATTTACATTCGAAACGGCCCTCTATCGAGGGAACGAACGGCTGTACGCACGCGTAGCTACCTGCCGTGCACGATCCACCGTTTTGCAAACGATACTATGCAAAATTGTTCGGCTCGCCTTCGAAATTGCTGTTCAGAAACGGACATTTCCATCGAAGCACCACGTGCGTAACCTTTCCAGTTGTCCGTGAATTTTGGACGTGAGACGAGCTTTCTAGTTCGAGGTCATTTCTGACCTCAATTCGTTTCTCGTATTTAACATTCATAGCTCCTTTGAACGAATCGACAAAAATGCAGGCTGTTTTATGATTGAAGGATCTTTGATGTGCTTTGATGAACGTGAAGAGGAAGAATTTAGTTTAGGGAAGATACAGTAAATCCTCGATGAATCCCTAGGTTTAATAGTCCTTTTAATAATCTTTGAATTCTAATCCAATGATATTTGTCCAATCATTTAATGTTCAGTGCCAAGGAACCTTGAAACACTTACCAAGGATTTACTGTACTACTGAGATATTAGATTATTAAATGTGAAGTCCGAGAAGATAAGATAATATCAATTTTAGAACACCCTGTATAAGGACGTTTTAATGATCCTAGGATTGTTGCATAATATCTGAAGGAATTTATGGAAATCGTTACCTGTTGTTGCTGCTTACTCCTGGCGATGCTGTTGACATTCTTCGGTTGTGACTCGTAACCCCCATTATGCTGCAACAGAAAACGAAAAATACAAAAATTACAACGTCGTCGTGTAACCGTCCTCAGGAATCGTAATTATATTCTCGCATTCAGAAATGCATGAAAGTCGTCGCGAAAAAACTAGGTTATACTCGTTATTCCGAGGAAGGACAAAGCATACAGAGCGTAAATTATTCCCATTGTTCCCTAAACAGCTGTTACGTAAACGCAATAAAACTTTTATTACTGAACTAACAAGAACCATCGTCAATAGAACACGAGGATTTTTCAGATCATAGGCCACGTATATACATTTCTTGACATTGATGATTATACATTATGGATCAGAAGACAGCAAGAACGGAAGCAGAATACGAAATGAACAGAACGAAAGATAACACAGTTTCTATTACAACAGGCAAATCGAATATTTCACAGCAACAGCGTACTACCTACCTGAATATACGCCAAGATTCATAGTAAACAATAATCGATCATTCTAATTTAAATCTCAGTGGAAAGGGAACGTTCAAGTTTTCAAGACCGAACGTGACGAAGCGCAATTTGTTGGGTTCCGGAGACGGCGAAGCGGCCAAACAAAATGAACGATCGCGCAAACAACACCCACGCCAGAAAAAAGGGGTGTGGAGGGGGCAGACTAACGCACCTCGCTCTCGATATGGAGGGCAGTGTGCCAAACCGTGAACGCGATTCGATGCAAAAGCGTCTCCGTCTCCTCCTGCAGCGGCGTGTCATCCTTCAAATTGTTGTTCACGTTGTCCTGGCGAGGATCGCCGCAGCGACAGCAATTAGCTCGTAGCCAGGCGCGCGACAGCGAGCCACTGTTCGAATTGGTCATTTTTCAATTCGAATGCAACTTAGAAATCAACGATCCTTGACTTGGACGAAGTAATTCGTCGTATCTTTCCGTAGGAACTGCAACGTTGAGGAATCTGATTCCTTTTTTGTGTAATTTAGTAATTTTAATAGTAATTTCCTAAGTGTTCCTAAAGTATAGTTCTGGAAGTATTATAGTAGTCTTCAGAGGTGAATCGAGTAATGGAAACCCTCGATAGAAGTATCGTTATCACAATTGAGTAATATAGTTACGCCAAAATGGCGATCTTCTGGAGTCACTTCGGTAAATCGAATCCTTCGGTAACAAACTAGTTACCAGAATTTGAGCACACGTTCAGTACTAATTTCATAAGACGATCTTCGAGAGTAGTTCGAAGTAAATTGCACCCTTCGATGATAGGTCTGTTATTAGACTTTGAGCATAAGTTCAGCGGATAATTCGTACATTCAGAATTTCATTAACTTCCCATTGATAAATTCAGGCCGTTCAATCTTCCTAAGAATCTGGAATATATTTGTCTAATCTATACCTTTGCCACACAATATTTAGTTATTTTCTAGGTAATTCCAGAAACTGGCCGTTTATCTCTGAGCAATGACAACTCCGAAGTGTCTACATAGTAAATAGAATTCTTCGATGACAGATTCGTTAACAAGGTTCTAGAATTTGAAATTCACAATACGATGGGCAGACCACGTGTCGGTTCCACGACGGCGCCGTCTGTTCCCGTGGCCCGTTACGAATTGTTCCATCGGGCCACCGCCTTCCCTTCTTCTATCGTTCCCCGAAGAAACGTTTGCCAAGCACAAGTATCCGTTATATGATTCAGCGACGAAAGTCACGGGCCACTAATCTCTCGTCGCCTGTCAAATATCTTTGCCACGCGCTAGCATCGCGCCTCGTTCGTATCAAAACTCATCGGTACAGATTGCACTCTTCAACTTGTACACCCGTAGGAACTTCTTCGTGCTAATTGGACAATCTTCAACGATCAGCTACCAAACCCTTCCACTTCTTCCTCTTCAAGTTTCCAGAGAACATGATCCCCTATCCGAAGTAACCCTCACAGAGCCACCCAGGCACAGAATCCCTTAAACTCGTTCAGGATCACGACCCTAACATCACTCAATCCACCCTCGGCTGACTCTTGATCCCCAAATGCTTTTCCCTTTCAGCAGGTTAAAATAGTCAGTACGTGTCTGGAACCCTCCAAACTATCCATTACAATAGTTCCTTCAGTACCACCAAAAAGGCCCCTGGCAGAGACCCATCCCCAAGTCCAGAACATGAACCTTCCACCATATCGATTCCACTAGCGTGAATCTTCAGAGGCTCGCTGAGAATCTCCCGCGGACCCCACCTGTCTGGATCAGAAGCTCAAGGTCACAATGGGTATCCACCCTCGGGTGATCACTTCCAATGTCTAGCCTGTCAGCGTTAGAGTATCCATGTGAAACTGGTCAGAAACGATCCCTGGATCGTTGGGAGGTGTCGCGGAATTATCTAGGGGACGCGACACCTCGACGATCAGTGAATAACTGCGAGGAAACGCATCGAGAGACGAGCAGAGGATCACGCACGACCTGGGTTAACCGGCACAACGAACGTCTGCGCCGCACGGGAGCCGCCCCGGCGCTGCGGCCGGATAGAGGGATGAAACCCCTGCATCCCCGTCAGCGCAGAGGGGTAGGTGGAGGGCGAGAGGGCAACGGCGGCACGGTAGCCATGACAACGAACGGCCAGCGTTCCAAAGTCGCACGCAGACTTGGTCCTGCGCGCCCCCCAGACTGGGGGGATCCGCGAGCGGAGTTCCCGTCTGCGCGACACAAGGAAAAGGGACAAGTTACCTAGTAGGTCGAGTGCCACTCCCTGTAAATATAATTACCCCGTGAAATTGACGGTCGGCCAGGACGCAATGCGCCCGATCACCGCCACGACTGCAATCCATCGTTCTTTTTGGCGAACAGAGGTGGACGCACGTTCGTTTCAGATAAAATTGATTCTCGCGCGATAATTTTAACCCATCTTCCAACTGGGTACTTTGTCCACGGAGTTCTGATCTTAATCCTGGTGGAAAGTTTTGAAAGTTATTATATGACTTTTTGGTGAATTTAATAGACGACGAAACGAGTGAGGAAAGAGCAAAATCTGTTGAGAATTCACTGGGGTACTGAATTTTGTACACAAGAAGTTACTTTGGAATCATTGTTCGTTGGGTGATTGGTGAAGATTGTCTGGAAATGAGATTTGAGTGTTGAGCTGATCAATTAAGAATGTCTTTTGATTGGCAATGAACTGGAGCACGAGGATGCTCCAGTTTACGGTAAAGTCTCGATAACTGCGCGGAAGGAGCTTCACGTTAATTACTTCTGCTTCATCCCTGCTAATGGAACACTGGAGGCTCGGCCTGAAGTGGCTCTACCCACCCAATTATGGGGATGACGTCTAAACACTGAGTGGCGAAGAGTTCGAACACTCATCCATGATTTACTGTAGATTGTACTTTCTACTGTCTTGACTACCATAACACAATAACATAGAAATAGATAGAAGAGTGAAAAATTAGTGAAAAATGTATCAAATCGACAAGTTAACTTGGACCACATTTACCAAGGCCCTGGTTACTAGCACACGCGTGTACGTTCAGTCTTTCCTTCATTCAAGCATGATACCAGAAGATATAACGAGCACTATTATAAATCAACATTTACTAGGAAATTCCCCAAGAAAAAAAAGGATATGCTACCAATGTATCGTGGTTAATGTTCATAAATTAATCTTCCTAAATAAATTTTAAATAAATACATGTAAAAAAAAAATTATTTCGTCTGACCTTCAAAAATTAGTCCTTGAAGAAGTTAATATTAACTTGCCACAAGCATCAGGATATCACGACTAATGTCCCTAGGAGATTAAGCCGGTCGAGTCTGGCGAGTCTGTTACGAGATGTAATAATTGATATGTTCGAATGATTTCGAGGGGATTCGGCGATACGAACCGTAGGGAATTGAAATTGAATTGGCCGTTGCTGTCGGTTTCCGCAACGAGCGACGGGGGACGCGGAGGAATATTTTACGGCGACGATAAATCACCTTAACTAGCCCCGTAGGCCTTCGCGGCTAAAACACGTTTTACACCAGGACTAGATGTCCGGATAAATGGATGGGTGTTCTTATCCAGAGAACGGCGCGAATAAAGATGCGAAACGTGGTAATTCAGATTCGCGGTGGCGGCTGGTCCCGGGCGAGCGTGGGGATAAGTAAACGCGATTTTTATCATCGTTACGCGAGCCTATGATTTCGCTGGGATCCCGGTTCGTGTTTCAATTCCGCGAACGGTACGAGCGTGCTATTATTGATAAATCGAGGCGCGATAAATTTCGCTCGACACCTGGAAAGTGTACCGCAACCGACGCGACGAACATTTTTCGTGGCAATGTACTTTACACAGGGTGTTCCCGAGTTGCGTGACTGAATATTGTAATTGTGAATTTTTATGTAAAATTACATTTACGAAGTCATTTATAAAGACAGATATAGAAGTAGGAAATTCTTTCGTCTCTTATGTATCTGGGAACTCTTTATTCTCTTATATATATTGAGAAGAAACAAATAGAAAACTCGTTGCAACATAGTTGTATTTGATTAGGAGTATTTCTGGAAATGTATTACACACATGTATAGATTAAATTAAATCATATTCTGATTAAATAAAAGCTTCTTTAAAGAGGAATCGAATATTTTGTTATACATCGAGGATTTACTGTACGAGTCATATAAAATGATATTACCTATTCTCAGTCTATGGGTCAAATCTGATAAAACTTGAACGTGATACGACTTCCAACGTCTGAACTCAGAAAAAGAAGGTATTTCATAAGATTTGTTAATAAAAAGGTTTGTCATGATCGGAAAATTAATATCCAGAAATCTAAGACGATTCTACGTCGTTGATTCGACAATTACGACCAAGTAGGACACGCTTCCCAATAGAAACCGTACAGAGAATGGATTCAATAAGACGTGACGTAAAAACATGCCCGCAGAAAATTACATTACACCCTGAAAGAACCAGCGATTCAGTTCCGAGGTAATAAAATAAGAGACGATATTCACTTCCTCTTCCACGCTGAAAGTCCCCATAATAAGACAGAAATCGAATTTAGTTCCCG